CTGCACTAACACAGCCATACCCACTGCCAGGCTCCAAGGTAGCAGGTAATCATGGGGCTACACATACAAGCAAAACATCTCTTAGTGCCTTTGAGCTAGCACTGAGGTAGCTCAGCACTGCACAGCACAGGCACTATCTAAAATGGCCTTTAGAGTATTGAGGATCATGCTTTAGGATTTTTCTGCTTGTGATCCATATTATGTTTGTAAGCACTTGGGAAGCTCAGTGTTTAATGTAACTGTGCATAGAGAGTCCCAGGTTTCATAACTTCCAAGGCATCAGATGTTTTGTGTGTGAAAGGGCAAAACTGAAATAATCCATGTCTTGAAAAACAACTATCTGAAAAATCTGTGCTGCCACTTCCTTATCTATAGGCCTGAGGCTTACATCAACTTTTGTCATCCTGCTGAAGGAGAGTACACCTCTGTGTGGCATGTTTCTTCCCTTTTCTCTCTTCCCTGCTCCTAAGGAGAGAGAGCATTAAATGAACTACAAACTCTCCTGCCCCTAAATTGGTTACTGATTAACCATATGGATTAGGCAAAAATCCTTGTGAGTCAGGATTTCTTTATCTAGAAAATGAACATGTGAACTGTGAGTATAAACTGTGTTCATAAAATGACGCATTTTAATGATTCTCAGTCACCCATTCCTAGTGTCATGTCCATGTAAAAGGAGTCTCCCTTCCAAGGTGTCTCCATAGTCCTGTGCAGAAAATCTCAGTATCTCAGAAGCTGTAAGCTGTAACTGTGTCTCTGTTAATCAGTATCCTGATTGATTTTTGTTGGTTGGGTTTGGTTTTTTTTGCACCAGAACTGACCATAGCTCTGAGTGACCTAAAAGGGTACTTCTAAGGAAATAACTGATATAATATTTCAATAGCCAAACGGAATTTTATTTCTATATCTTTTATTTTAAAGAAAGCAAGCAAGCAGCACTGGGTGTGCTGTGAGTGGAGTGGAGTGGTGACTCCCTGGCCACCCAGTGCTGCTTGCTTGCTGTCTTTAAAATAAAAGATATAGAAATAATTTTGGTTTGGCAACAAAATTTTATATCATAACTAATTAATCTAATTTTTTTAGCTTTTTCTGGCCCATACTACATTGCTTGCTCTAAATCATGATGTAACCTCCTTCCAGACAAGTTCATTAAAATCCCCTTAAAATTGTACTTGTGTTTAAAAGGGCTTTTGGTACAATTTAATGTCTAAGAGAGAGAGGAGGATGGAAGTGGAAATGTGCCACATGAGCAGATATTCAGCTGGGAAGGTAACATTAATGATTAGGCTGTGCAGCCAGAACTGGTGTTAACAGCACATGCATCCTTTGAGAATTTAGAGAACTGAACTACACATAAATACTTGCTTTTTCCCCTTCCTTGTTTTTCATACCAGAGAAACTTGAATCTTGTCTTTTGCCAGTACAATTCCAGTGTAACTACACAGAAATCACTGAAAGAAAATAAATGCAGACCACCACATCTGCATAATATTAAAGTCAGCTATTACATGATTTTCAATTTTTCACCTCTCTTAGAATGCAGGTATCGGTTCTATAAGGCTCAAAAAAGTCCTTACGTACTGTATTCCAGGTCAGCACTGCAGAGGGAAGCATCAGCACCTCATTATGGAAAAGCAATGTGGCCATCAAAGGATTAGTGCAAGCTCCTGCTCAGGTTTTGAGTTTTTCTCCCATTAGAGATTACCTCATTATTAGCAAGCTGGGAGGCACTGGTGAACGTGAGTGTCTGGAACTCCTTTAAATAAAAATAACTGCCACTATTTGGCAGTGTTTGGGGGGGACACAAGACAGATGATGGACTTTGGACCTGGTTAACATAAGAGATTTGATAACAGGATGCCCTGGCAAAAGCAAACAGAACTTTGAAAATGAGACCTAGATTGCAAGAAGATTAAATCAGACAGGTTAACCAGAAAAAGAAAATCTCACTAAACTCTGCCAACAAGAGACATTGCTATATGCATAAATTTGTGTATGTGATTTTAACCTAATCATTGTAGTACACATTACTAGTCTCCCTAAAATAGTGTATAAGCATATATATCCCACAATAAAATCAGATTCTGATCACTGAATCAGTCTCCCCGTCTCTCTCCATCGCCGACAACTATTGTCACCAGATTATTTTTGAGCACTGACTGTATCTTCCTGTTGCAGCACCAGTTTAACTAGAATGTTTCTTGAAAATCATTTTGAATGTGATGATTTAGAAAATGATCAGCTACCAGCTATGAACATTAAAAGGCTGAGAACACAGAGAGAAAATAGTTTGCACAAGAACAAGTTTAATCCTAGAAGCACCTGTCTTCTTGGATAAATGTAAGCTTGTTCATACTCTGGTAGAAGTTTTGCAGTAAAGCTACAATCCTACAATTCTCTTGATGATGAGCTCAAACAAAGCAAGGGACCTGCTTGGAAAAAGGAAAAAATGCATGGTCAGATAATAGATGCAGAATGAAAGAATCTGAGAGATTGAAGGTACCAAAAAGTTGAGTCAGAATTTTTGCAGACAGTTTTGCAACACTCTAAACCATCAGTGACCTCAGATGCTTAATTTCAGTGGAGAAGTAGTAAAAAACCACAAAACAATACAAAATCCCACCCTGAACTGCTGGGTTCAGGAGATTCTGTGCATTTAGAAATCCATGTTCTGAATTGCTGCCTAAAATTGCCTGGATTTTTATGCATACTGTTACTACCTGCAAGCATTAAAAAGTAGTGTCCTAGTCATGACACTGGGGCCTTGGTGCTAGCAGACAGTGGCACTGAGAAGTAGAGCCCTGATTTTCTCTTCTAAGTGGCCTAGGTTTGTGCCAAGAAACACAGGCTGGGCTGATTCTCCTAACATTCTGAGCAGGATTCAAGGACTTTGGAAAAATGTGGCAGAGCCAGTCTCCAAAGAAGTACCCTGAGACCCTGCTAAGGAGACAGTCCAGGTGGCAGTGCTGTGGGGACCTGTAGTCCATGCCATTAGAAATTCTGTAAGCAGTTCACCTTTATGCCTTTTGCTTTGGGGACCAGAGCCCCTGTCACCTGGCAGGGCAGTCCCACCCTGCTGGCAGCAGCCCCTCAGGGAGTACACAGTGCACCTGGCACATGAAATCCCTCTGGGACCCTCACTCTCCTGTGCTTTTTAAAAGCAGAACAGCTGGAAGAGCTGAGGAAGGTGCTCCATAGACCTCTAGCCAACATCATGGGGCTTTTAACTGAGCTGTTGCTCATTATGTCTGAGGGAGACTACACTGACTCCAGCACAAAGATTAAGAACTAGGCTCTTCCTACTTTTCACTTGGAACTTAGTTCTCTGCTTAATTAACACATCAGCATTTGGGCCAGACTCCAATTGCACAGCTCAGTGGTGCTGTCCTTTTCCTGGCACAGGGCTCCAGTCAGTGCTGGGGCCAAGGAAGAGGAGGCAGGGAGGGCATGGAAGCACAAGAGACATCACAGCAGGAGGCAAAGCACGGGGCCAGAGTCACTAACCTGACTCCTAAGGAGTCCTTAGGCCAGGGTGTGAGGTACCACTCTTCAAATTTGGGACTTAGCTGTAGGTGGCTGCATGAGACACACTCACATGGACTCCTGCTGGGCACCCATGCATGACCAGAGTTTGGGCTAAGCTCCAGTTGAGTGTTGTGGCCAGAAAGAGAACTGAGGAGCCTGGGAGGCTTGGTGCCTCCATTCTGTCACTGGTGTTCAGGAGATGAAGGCTGAAATCCTTGCTTTTGCAGATGCTTCTTTATGCCAAGTACAAGACTTGGAAACTCAAGCAACATGGAGAAGAGCAAGTAGCTCTCATTTGTGACAGACCTGTCTTCTCAGAAAGAGCTGAGTATGTAGCTCAAATAGAAGGAAGGAAAAATAAACTTCTTTCAGAGTAGACAAAAGTCACTAAGTCACTCTACTCAGATTTGGGGGATGCCACTGAGGCAGGGAAAACAAACTTACAAAATACCTTACTGAAAATGCATGGAAATTGTACTCCTTTATCCTTCAGGACTCAAAGCGTGCTTCTCTCAAATGCTTTGGGGGTTGGAGGGTCCTGGTTTTAAATAATAACCACATCTAACACTCTCAGAAATTTGCTTACCTTTTCTTTCTTTTATTTTCGCTTTCTCTATGAAGCAAAATATCCAAAGCTGGGAACTTGAGCTTCACTCACGCTGAGTGTCACATTACATGAATGTTCCATGAGCAAAAAGGAAACTATTTTTGTGTCATTTAGCTTATCTAGCAACTATTTGTGCTGATGGCAACAAAACATTTACCTGTTGCCCGCTAAGAGCAGGAGGGGCTGGGTGGTGAGGGCTCTCCCTTTTCCGAAGAAAAAGAACTTTGCTTTACAGAACAGCTTGAAAGGCTCAGGTGAACAGGACAGATTCCAACTGTGCTGAAGGTGGCAGCACATTCAGGCCTGCCTGGGATGGCTGTGGGCCAGCAGTGCCTGCAGCAGGAATTGCACAAGTGGGTGCACAGATCCTCTGTGCTCTGGAGAGGTCTTTGACCCATGTGCCAGCAGCTGCTGCTCTCTTGGAGCCCAGGCCAAAGACCTTCAGGGATTTCACCTCCTGTGCCATCAGAGCAGGCCCCTGGCTTGTGATAAGGAGCTGTGTGAAGGCTCATCTGGAGCCTCCCCCTGCACCCCCTGCCCTAGCCTTGGCCCTGGCACCTGTGTGGGCTGCACTTGTGGCACCCAGTCATTTGCAGAGAAATACTGCACTGTTTTCATGAGAAGGTGTTTTAAAGATGTCTGGAAAGTGCAGAGGAGCAGTGTGAGCAATGATACAGGGAAAGGTGTATTCTGTATTCCTTGATACTGTACCTTAAATGCATCTCTAGGATGTGATTATGACTTTCACTGCCAGGAGACACTGTGGTCGTTGTGTTAAAGAACTTAAATGCATTTATTCATATAAAGGCATATTGATGATGCAAATGCATAATTGATAATCAATGTAATTAGGTATATTACATATAGATCTGTATTATTCCAGGTATTTCCTACAAAAATATGGGAAATTCAATGTTCTTTAGAGCATTTTATAATTCAACATTATAAACTGAGGTGAAAACAGACTACCCACCTTTGAGGGAATTCCTGCCTACCTCAGCACAATGAGACAAAGGTGATGGGATGTACATTCAAAGCAGCCCTTCTAGAGCTGCATCACTGCTTTGCTATTATGCAGCCTGCTATTATTACACCCTGTTATGCAGCTGTGTTCCAGCTGCAGGTGTGGGATAAGCCCTTAGGTGTGCCTGGGAATGGTGGCCTGGAAGCCCCTGCCTGAACTGTTTTGAATCCAGGCAGCTGAACTACGCTCAGCACATGTCCTCTTTTCACTGGCGCCTCTGGGAAATGAGAATCAATTCTTGCTTTTCACTGTGTGCTTCTCTGCCCAATGATTGCATCAAACTTGACTTCAGACATCTTCTTCAGAAGGTTCAGGGCACGTTCTGGAAACACCCTGGAAGAGACAGTAACACGAAAATAGAAGTGGGATGGAAACTTAAATTATGGGGAAAAGTGTCACTGCAGGTAAGGGAAGAGCTGGTCTGGCAGGAGAATGCATGCACACACATGAACTGAGACTATGTATTAAACTGGGCATTATTTCTTAAGGACATGTAGAACTTGTCAATCTCTGACAAGTTTTAACTCAAAATCCCACCCATCATTTTTAATGACAATTCCAGGACAGGTATGTACCAACCATGATTCAGGCTGCAATATTTCTGCAGAATCCAGAAAGTTTTCATACTGAACAGAGACACAAGTATTTGCTTTCTCTTTGCAACAGAGCCCTTTAAAAGCAAATTTTCCTGCCTCAGTGCCCAGAATTTTTGGTGTTGACATGGAGAAACAAACACACAGGTTCTCATCTCATTCTGGGGCTATGCTGGGGCTGCTGTTCTAGAGAATGTAGTGGCCTGTAGAGCAGTGAACATCTGCACTGACACCAGTCAGCTGCAGCAAGTGGTTCAATGCAAAGGCCTGTGAGAGGGCTCAGCAAAATCTCAAGATGATGTCTGCCGTTGTCACTGGAAAGAACCACTGCATTATTAACTACCTTGTGATATGTTCTAAAATACAACTTTATCTTGAATCAGATTTTACAAGTTTGAGGGTACACTCAGCAGGTTACAGTTGATACATTTTTTGCCCTACTCACCTTTCAAGCAGTAAGGCTATGCTCTGATTTGAGGGAACAAAAACCATTTTCTGGTTGGTCACTATTCCTTCCATCAAAGCCTGTACGACTTCTTCAATCTCCAAAATCTTTCCGAGCCTACACAGGAAAGCAAACACATAAGAGCTGCAGTGATAAAAAGGAGTGGTACCAGGTGATCTAGGAGGCTTGTACAAATGTACAAACTCAGGTCATTCAAATGCAACAATTACATGGGTTAAAGGACATTGCAGATTTTCTTTAGTCAATGATACAAACTGCTGTTATACAGCCAGCTGGAACAGAGGCCTAAAGCTGGGGATAATATGCAGTGCCTTAATGCAAAGAAGGAAAGACAGGAATGCAGGGTATTGAGAGTTACCTTGTACTGGGGTTTTTGACAAATCCAGTGTTTATAAAAACAGGACAAAGGCACGTTGTTTTGATTCCATCCTTTCCAAGGGCAGAGAGCTCCTCTGTCAGAGCTTTATGAAATCCAACTGCAGCGAACTTGCTTGAGCTGCAGAAAGGGAGAAAGTACAAATGAGAAGGCAGAAATCCTATTTCCACCTTTCTACCACTGCAAATGGCTTAAAGAATCATACACATACAGTACAGGGTAGGATGCAAAAAGCTCCAAATAATATAATCCAGCTGAGAGGCAGAGCAAGGATTATATTAACTTTCTGTGTGCCAGACTGTAGTGCTGGATAAGATATTGAAACTTGTGGAGTAATTGTGGAAAGCAGACAGGGTATGAACAGGCAAACAAAGCTGAGATGAAAACATCAGGAGATCTTAGAAAACATTAACTAGCGTGTGTCAATTGATGCACATCAAATTTTTCCCATGAGAGAAGATTCTTGGAAGGACTGCATCCTGAATGTCTGAAATTAGGAAGGATGGGCAGGGTAGAAATGGAGATTAACCTCTGACTACTTATTGTATCACACAGGAGCATCTCAAATCAACTGTGTGTGCTTTGAAATAGTGGGATATCATGCAAGAAAAAAGTAGAGGAGGAACGACCTGCCATGGAAATAGGTGTGGGCCTTAAGTTTCAATGAATTACAAATAAAATAGATATCACATGACTATTCTTTCATACAAATATTGCTAACAATTCAGTCAGAGCCAATTACTTGGTACTTCCTGATAGAAAAGATGCAATTAGAAATTTTAAAAATGAAGCAAGCTGATTACAAAATGACTTACCAATATGTCACCATGAAAGGAACCACAAAATGACCTGCTGCTGAAGCCACCGTGACAATGTGCCCATAATTGTTGTTCATCATGACTGGCAGGAAAGCTCTCGTGGTCTTGGAAGTCATTTAAACCAAGAGGCAAAATGCAGGGGACAGGAAGGAGGAAAAGAACATGGTTTTCTTAGGCACACTCAGCACTGACTCTCAGTGTTATTCACCAGGTGGCCAAAGCTCTCCCTAAAGCTTTGATCTGCACAGCACCTCAGATTCCAGAGCCACAGGGATACCTGCTCTCTGACCAGTGGTGCAGCTGGCAACCTGCTCTCCAAAGGCTGCAGCAGTTGGCCATAAACAGGAAATGGTTTTCACAGCTTTCCTTTGCTGCTTTTAAGGTTTCAGGTGTCAGCAGAAATGCTGGCAGGGTCTCACCCCAGCACACACAATAAACCACTTGTCAATCTGTGGCTTCTCTTTCCTTCTGCCACAAACAAGTCCTGCTGAAGCCCTCCCACCCTGTCAGCCCCACGACACCTCTGACAGAGGCCTTCTGTGCATGCTGCAGGTGAGGCTGTCAGCAGCCAGCTCACATCAGCAAGAAGCCACTCCAGTTTCCCAGCACACAGCCTGCTTGGGTGCCCTGTGCTGTAACAGTTCATTTGGTAATTTCACTGCTAATGATGGTTGGTCTAAACATGCATCCTCATTGACACTCCCAAACAAGTGTGTATATAGATGGTGGTGGCCCTTACCCACATGTGGCCCAGAATGTTGACTTCAAACATCCTTTCTATCTGGTGGTCCTGAGTCGAGAGAAAGTCAGCAGCTGTAATCACGCCAGCATTGTTCACCAGGACAGTCACATCCCCAATATCCTTCTTCACCTTTTAGAGAGAAAACAAAAGCCCAAAATTGTGTCTGTCACTCAGGAGAGGAAAAAATAAAAGTAAAGGTGGGGAAGATGAACCATGGTTAAATTCTTAACATTGCATCTTCAAGGGAGAGGGAGATCATGCCACATTTCCAGATGTGGCAGGGACTTTGCACAAGAGCCATGGAATCTGGTTTAGATCTGATTCTTCCCCATTCATTAATGTCAGTATTTATTGTGTTCCACAAACTGTGCACAGTTTGGACCATTTGGTGTGGGAAATGGATTTGTAGAGAGTTCTCAGGGCCTGACAGAAGGTGCTCACAGTATGGATCTGTATGCAAATCGAGACAAGAAATGCTGACTTAGAAACGCCATGGGATAGGACAGATATGGTTGAGAGAGAAATGGTGCTAGAAAAAAGCTTAAAAAATGGCCTTGCAAATAAGACTAGATACTTTGGAGAAACAGAACTATGAATCTTGCATTGTATTGGGATCCACGAGGAGTAGTTTTAGATGAGTGACTTTAAGGCATCTACAGCATGGTGTGGCAAAAAGCTGATAGGTCAAGAAAGGCTTATAGTGTATTGTAATTAGGAAATAGTTGGCTTCTGATTGTGATGGTGTGAATTATAACATCTGTATTGTCTCACCCTTCTCATCAGACTGAAAATGGAATAAAAAATGGAATAAAAGTTTTTAAAATGCCTTTCAGTTGCCCCATCTCTGGGTCAGGAAACGAGTATTGTCCAACACTTGGGACCACAGAGGTACAGACTGTTTTGAGGCAGCTGGACCACAGCCATTCCAATAAAGTGTTTCATATGTTCTCAGTGCTATGTTCCTTCAGAGGCTGCAACCCTAGAGAGCAAACTTGGCAAGAGGATGCGATGTGCTGGAGCCTCCCAAACAGGATGAGATTGGCTGTGATTTTGGAAATGCTACAGCACTCTGTGTCCAGAGAGCAGTGAGGAATGGAGAGCTTCCAGGGGTTTGCAGGATTTGTGTGCAACAAACAGATTTCCTGCCTTCTCTGGAAATCAAGCATGGCTGGGACAGCCTTTGGCCATGCCCTGCTGCCCCACCTTGTCTGCAGCGCTGTAGATCTCCTCCCGTTTGCTGCAGTCCACCACGAAGGTTTGAACAGTGGCTCCCAGCTTCTGGCATTCTGCTGCCGTCTCCTCAACGCCGTGCTGGAAGAGGCAAAGAGAAAGACACAGCTGTGCACAGCTGTCCCCTCAGCACGGCTGAGCAGCAGAGGCTGAAGATGTTCCTGGATTGAGCAACCACTGCCCAGCCCCTGAACAGTTCATAGCTACCCAGGGAAAGAGCTACAGGTGGGGTTGTTGAAAGAATAGGCATTCCAGTTGGAAATTTTGGACCTTTGTAGAGTGACTACCAGAAAGGAAATCACAGAATATTGAAATGGTTTGTGTTGGAAAGGGTCTTAAAGACTATATAGTTCCAACCTTCCCTTGCAATGGGCAGGACAGTAGATCACATTCTCTATTCAATCTGGCCTTGAATATTTCAAGGGATGAGGCATCTCTAAATTCTCTGGGCAACCTGTTTTAGTACCTTACCATCCTCACAGTAAAGAATTTTTTCCTAATATCCAATCTATCCTCATCTCTTTCAGTTTGAAGCCATTTCTCTCTGTCCTGTCACTACATGCTCTTGGATATACTCTCTATCAATCTTTTTGTAAGCCCCCTTCACATACTGGAAGGTTAAGTCATTCCAAAGCCATCTGTTTTCCAGGCTGAACAATCCCAATTCTCTTAGCCTTAGGAATGTGGCCTCAAGAGTGAATTTGGCTTGGTGAGGCACACGTAGCAGCAAAAAGAGGACACGCAGTGCCTATCACAGCACAGCAGGCAGCACTGTGAGTGTAAACAGAGCTCTTGCAACACAGGCCTGGCTGACACCTCAAGGTGGCTCTATGCATTTCTATATTCACGTGCTGGGTGTGAGAAGAGCCACACTTGTATTGGGTCTGGCTGAGATAGAATTCATTTCCCCATAGCATCCTCCCAGTGCTGTACTTTGCACTAGTTGCTAGGAAGGGGTTGATAACACACCCGTTTTTTAGTTGCTGCTGAGCAGTGCTGATGCAGCATCATGGCTGTGTTCCCAACATTCCCCGCCCCATCAGTAGAGCCTGGGAGGGGACACAAGCAGGAAAGCAGAGCAAAACTGACCAAAGAGAAATTCCATATCATATGACAGCTCAGATATAAAAGCTAAGAAAAAGAGGAAGAAGAGGAGGGGCATCTGTTATTTACAATGTTTGCCTTCCAGAGTAAGCACTCGCCAGGATGTGGGTGATCATCTCTTGCTGACAGGAAGTAGAGAATAATATTTTTTTTCTCTTTGCTTCTCTGCACACAGCCTTTCAGCTTTGCTTTAGCAAATTGCTTTATTTCATCCTACAAGTCATCATTTCCCATGTTATTTCCTCTACCCCATCCAGCTGAGAAGAGGGGATGATAGAGCAGCTTGGTGGGCACCTGACATGCAGCCAAGGTCAATGCACCACAACTGTTCACAGTGCAAAGACACTTTCCTTACAGGATTGCACTTGACACACACAGAAGAGAAGCTTCCTTCTGTTATTGTATCAGCTTACTAACCAGAGCAGAAATTATTTTGCTGTTGTCTTGTCCCCAGGTGCCAGAAGGCCATGCCAGTGGGGCCCTGTGCTGGGGTCTGTTTTGCAGCTTCAGGATAACACAATTAGCTTCTTTGCTGACCCAATGCGTCAGAAACAGAAAGCCCAGCCTTTCATGCACCCTGTTGCGCCTACACCCAGCAGTTTACCTTGATCCCTTCTGAATACCATGCTGCATGTTTGTGTCCCATCCTCCACTTGCCAAGGTCCTTTACGCGTGTAGCTGCCCAGAGGGCAGCCGGGCTCACATACAGCCCGGCACAGGGATGCTGCTGCTGAGAGTGCAGGGAAAACACATCTCCCAGCATTGCACACAAAACACCCGAGGCTACAGAGAGAGCAAACGAAGGCAGACCTGCTGCTCTTTGCAAACAGCCTTCTGGTATCAGCGGGCTTTCTCTGCCAGCCCAGGCAGCAGCTGCACCAGCAGCTTCCCGAGCACTGCTTTCCCTGTCGCAGGGGCTCTGCCGGCTGTTGCCTGCTCCCTCCCGAGTGGCACCGAGGGACTGTGGGACCAGAGCCCCACATGCTCTGCTGCAAGCGGGGCCAAATCCTCTCCTGGCGCTCGGCATCCCAGCCGGAGGAGCCGAGCGGGAGCCGATGGGAGCGGGCTGGAAGGGGCTGGGCGACGAGGGCGCAATGTGGTGCTGCCCTTCTTACGCCCCTAAATGCCCCGCGGACTCGGAGGTCACACGGAGCGAGGACATGAGTGTGTCCATTACCTTGTTGATGTCCCACAGGACCAGCCTGCTCTGGCGCTTGGCGAACTCCAAGGCGGTCGCTCGCCCGACGCCATGGCCAGCGCCCGTGATGAGCACCAGCTCCCCGGCGAGAGACTTTCTCCTCACAGGCACGAACAGCTTCACAAAAGCCTCCAGGTAGGAATAGAGGAGCGTGGCCAGGAACAGGAGAAGCTCCAGAAACAGATTCATTGCTTTACTGGAGCTCTTTCGAGGACCGAACTGAACTTTAATCTCTTTTGTAGGGGCCCGCGGGTTGTTGATTTACCCGCTGCCGGCTCCGGGCGCGCCGCGGGTCCCGTCACTCCCGCAAGATCCACCCCAGCACCGGCGGCTGCTCCGCCCCGCTCTCCCAGGCTGAGCTCCCGGTGTCCCTGTGCTGGTGGCCCTGCGGTGGCGCTGGGTGAGCGGTGCAGAGGAGCTGCAGTCTGCGCCCCAACCTGCCCTCGCAGAACCACGGCCGCCCTGCGGCTAACAGGACGTACCGGACGTGGATAAAGAAATGTGGCTTTTAGGGCGTTTTCTGTCCTCTTGGCTAAGGAAAACAGAGACGATAGAGGAGTGCGAGCCCCTCTGTGTTCTGCCCTTGGTTTTGATCTGTCAGTTGTCCCAACTGTTCATTCTCTGCTTTGTTTGTCCCCACACAGGTGGCAGTGCCTTCCTGTTCCGCTCTCAGGCCCCTGTATCAAGGAAGCAGCAAAACATGTTCTTGTTTGTCATTTGCTGCAGGTGGAAAATGGACGGAAGGGGCAATAAAATTGCTCATCCAGTTTACTGACAGAAGCATCTTGAAGTATGTATTGTAATTCTTTTCAGTTTTTGTGCTTTGCACCTGTCAAGGCCCTCAGTGCCATAAGGTCCTTGAGCAGTTTTCTTCATGGTCCTTCTTTCCATTGCATCTCTGCAAAGCCTGCCTGGTCAGCAGGCTTTGTCCCCCACCATCCTCTGCCAGGTCCCTCAAGGAAAGCTGAATGAGACAAGTTTCTTTCAACTTCTGGAACTCCACAGGTGAGCTCTTGCCTAGCTGTTTGTCTTACTGTGTCTTTTATTTAGTTATCCATACTGAGACCTTCCATCTTATGCTGCAGCTGCTTAGTTTCCATAAGTCCTTTGAAAAATGGCATAAAATTGCATGAATTGGAATATTTTTATTTAGTCTAAATCACACAACTCACACTTGGGCTCACTTGTATATAATGGAGTATCCAGAGCCTTAAGCAGAACAGGAATGCTTATAGGAAATAGGAGAAAAATATTTTCAGGTGTTTCTTCCAGCTCTATCAATGTAACTCATGGCCTTTCCTGAAAAAGATTGCTAACCTTAGTCCTTTATTTTCAGTTAGAACATCTGATGTATCACAGTTATGTTCATCATTTTATTTAAGGATGTTTTTGAGCTGCTTGGGGAAGAGTGAAGGGTTCACAAATATCTAACAACTGACAAAAATCGCGTCCAGTTAATACCACAGTTTTAAAAAAGTATTTTTTTTGCCCGGGTGGTTTGGCTGCAGCTCACCTTGTCTGCGGGAGACTGGGTCAGTTCCAGCAGAGAGATTTTGAGCTAGGTGCATCCTATTTTTCTCTTGGAACCTAGTTCTCTGCTTAATTAACACATCAGCATTTGGGCCAGACTCCAATTGCACAGCTCAGTGGTGCTGTCCTTTTCCTGGCACAGGGCTCCAGTCAGTGCTGGGGCCAAGGAAGAGGAGGCAGGGAGGGCATGGAAGCACAAGAGACATCGCAGCAGGAGGCAAAGCACGGGGCCAGAGTCACTAACCTGACTCCTAAGGAGTCCTTAGGCCAGGGTGTGAGGTACCACTCTTCAAATTTGGGACTTAGCTGTAGGTGGCTGCATGAGACACACTCACATGGACTCCTGCTGGGCACCCATGCATGACCAGAGTTTGGGCTAAGCTCCAGTCGAGTGTTGTGGCCAGAAAGGGAACTGAGGAGCCTGGGAGGCTTGGTGCCTCCATTCTGTCACTGGTGTTCAGGAGATGAAGGCCAAAATCCTTGCTTTTGCATATGTTTCCTTATGCCAAGCACGAGATTTGCAGCCATAGAAGACACAGAACAGAACCACAGCCACACACAGAGTACTGCACAAGTTGCCTTGACCAGTAATTCCTCTGGGCTCTGAGACCCTGGACTACTTCTGGCAAAGCAGGAATCACTACAGTCTCCCCTTCCTTAGGAGCAAGTGTGCTAAGAAACAGACTCTGCAGAAGAACACTGTCACCCCCTGGATAGACTTTTGTTCCAATTTTTGGCTTCTAGGAGAAGCCAAGCATCTTGTCTGATGTCTCCTACTGAAGCCAGTCCTTCCCTAGTCTAAGAAAAGGGCCAAATCATTCAATGTTGACTTTTCTCCAGGGTCTTTCTAAGCTTTTTTCTGTGGAGTCACTGGACTGTGACTCCTTTGAGCAAGAATTCAAGTCATGAAACAGAAGAAATGTGGAAGGTGGGTAGAAAGAGAGACTAAGTTGGGTGGGAAGTTAAGAATGCTTGCCAGCCATACAAGAGACAACTGGTAAGTACCTGCAAATCTGTGAAGTACTGATTTAGCTCCTATGTTCCAGTGAGTGCTAAGTGCAAACATTTTGGCTGGTATGCTGCTTGCTCTGACAGATCTGTTGAACTTTTGAAGCATCTGTAGTTTTAGACTTTTTGACTCCTCACTAGGTAAGAGTAGGCAAAAGTGAACATAATTAAAAAGCTACACAGATGTGACTTCAAGTGTCTCACATGCTACAGGACTCTCATAGTAGCAAGAGGGCAATATGCACCTCAAAAAGAAGCAAGGATGCAGCCCTACTTCTTTTTGGCTTGGTTTTTAAATGGAAACCATGCCTAAGTATTCTTTGATTTGCTTATAACCTTTTTTTTTAATGTCCTGAATTTTTTAAACCTCCTTTTTTCCATTCCTGTCTCAGCTACGGGAATCTTGCACTGTGAATCACAAGAACTGAAGCTGGGAAGTGTCCTGTTACATGAATATTCCATGAGCCAAAAGGAAAACAGTTGTGTGCTATTTAAGCTGTCAACAGTGCTTCTACCTGTTGCCAGCTAAGAGCAGGAGGGGCTGGGTGGTGAGGGCTCTCCCTTTTCTGAAGAAGTTGTTTACAGAACAGCTTGAAAGGCTCAGGTGAACAGGACAGATTCCAACTGTGCTGAAGGTGGCAGCACATTCAGGCCTGCCTGGGATGGCTGTGGGCCAGCAGTGCCTGCAGCAGGAATTGCACAAGTGGGTGCACAGATCCTCTGTGCTCTGGAGAGGTCTTTGACAGCTGCTGCTCTCTTGGACCCCAGGCCAAAGACCTTCAGGGATTTCACTTCCTGTGCCATCAGAGCAGGCCCCTGGCTTGTGATAAGGAGCTGTGTGAAGGCTCATCTGGAGCCTCCCCCTGCACCCCCTGCCCTGGCACCACCTTTAAGCCCTGGCCCCTGCATGGGTTTCACTGCCTGGCCCTGTACCTCACTGGTCCTGATGTGGCTTCCCTGTGTGCCTGGGGACTGCCTCATCCCTGCAGCTGGGCTGGTGTTTGGCAGACTCTGGCTGATCCTTTCAGCACTGCAGCATGTGCTCCACTGGTACTGCACATGGATACCACTTCCATTGCTGGGAGACACCTTTGGGTTAGAAAAATGTATTTATTTGCAATATGGAGTTTTGGTGGTGCTAATGCATAATTGATAAATGTTGTAATTAGGCATTAGATTACAAATAAGGCTGTATTATTTCAGTAATACAAATAATTAATTCAATAATGCTCATTATAAACGCACACGAAACTCTAAGTGTTCATAAGAGCACATTTTTTAAACTTAAAATTATTAAGAGAGATGAAACAGGCCACCCACCTCCTCTATAAATTGCTTCTTGCAAGATGCTTTTGCTCAGGGATGAGTCCAGATTAACATGTTCTCAGGCAATCCCTTTGCACTCAACTAAGGTGCTGTGTTGTCCCAAATACAGGCTTTGTGGGCATCCTGCCTGCCCCAGCACAATGAGACAAAGGTGATGGGATGTACATTCAAAGCAGCCCTTCTAGAGCTGCATCACTGCTTTGCTATTATGCAGCCTGCTATTATTACACCCTGTTATGCAGCTGTGTTCCAGCTGCAGGTGTGGGATAAGCCCTTAGGTGTGCCTGGGAATGGTGGCCTGGAAGCCCCTGCCTGAACTCTGTTTTGAATCCAGGCAGCTGAACTACGCTCAGCACATGTTCTCTTTTCACTGGTGCCTCTGGGAAATGAGAATCAATTCTTGCTTTTCACTGTGTGCTTCTCTGCCCAATGACTGCATCAAACTTTGGAGTGGTCATCTTCTTCAGAACGTTCAGGGCACGCTCTGGAAACACCCTGCAAGAGACAGTAACATGAAATTAAAAGTGGGATAGAAACTTAAATCATGGGAAAAAGTGTCACTGCAGGTGAGGGAAGAGCTGGTCTGGCAGCAGAATGCATGCACACATAAGAACTGAGACAATGTGTTAAACTGGGCATTACTTCCATAGCTCCCACCAATCTCTGACTAATTAAATCCATTCTTGGCCTTTTAGGACAGTTCCAATGCCAGGTATCTGTGGGCAGTATGTGAACTGCAGTATTGCTGCAGGAACCAGGAAGTTTTAATATTGTACAGATGTAGATAAGTATTACATCTCATGCTCTGAAAAGCAGTAGGCCTGTGGAAGGATGAGATTTTAAAACTGAAGTGCAGTTTTCACTCCTAAGATTCCTCCTTTTAAAGAGCTTTGTCTCTTTATTTCCCTGTCCTAAATTATGATCAAAAAAGCAAAGTTATCCTAAGTGCTTTGACAGCATCAGTTTTGACTCGCCTATGCTTCTGCAGACTTGCACTCTCAACAAGCAGTTCTTGGAGTTGCAAAAGGATTTAAAATATTTTTACCGCTGTCTGGTGTTTGGTTTAGCAAACAAGAAACTACCAAGTATTTCATGAGATACTATAGGATTTAACGGAGAATCTAACTTAGTTGTTAGGATGGAAATTCCAGATTTGGAACTGGAGCTCTGGTAAAAACACCTCCTCAAAAGAGCAGCTGCACTGGATAATTAAGTTGCGTGGGAGGATAAATCTTGCTTTACATACAGAGAGAGTACAGTCCTTTTGAAGCAATGTTCTCAGCCTCTGTGCCCTCAGTGCTGACATAAAGAAACAAACACTACTAAGCAGCAGGTCCTCAGCTCTTTCTGGAACTTCTGCTGACTCAGAGGTTACAAGTTTGAACCTTGTATACTCAGGTAGTATTGTTGTTTCCACATCCATTGTTTAATTTTGCTTTGTACTTACATTTCAGAAAGCAAAGCAATGTTTAGCTGTGGTGGAACGAAAACCATTTTCTGGTTGGTCACTATTCCTTCAATCAAAGCCTGTACGACTTCTTCAATCTCCAAAATCTTTCCCAGCCTACACAGGAAAGCAAACACATAAGAGCTGCAGTGATAAAAAGGAGTGGTACCAGGTGATCTAGGAGGCTTCACAAATGTACAAACTCAGGTCATTCAAATGCAACAATTACATGGGTTAAAATCACATTGCAGATTTTCTTTAGTCAATGATACAAACTGCTGTTATACAGCCAGCTGGAACAGAGGCCTAAAGCTGGGGATAATATGCAGTGCCTTAATGCAAAGAAGGAAAGGCAGGAATGCAGGGTATTGAGAGTTACCTTGTACTGGGGTTTTTGACAAATCCAGTGTTTATAAAAACAGGACAAAGGCACGTTGTTTTGATTCCATCCTTTCCAAGGGCAGAGAGCTCCTCTGTCAGAGCTTTATGAAATCCAACTGCAGCGAACTTGCTTGAGCTGCAGAAAGGGAGAAAGTACAAATGAGAAGGCACAAATCCTATTTCCAACTTTCTACCACTGCAAATGGCCTAAACCGTCATCTGCCTCTTAGTTGCTCAGGTGCTGTTTAAGGTAATGGCTAGGGGAGGGGTGAGGGCTGGTGCACCTCTGCTCTACCTTGTATCCTAACCCATACCCCTTATTTTCACTATGTGCTCTCTATCCCTCTACCCCTCTTTCTGCTCCTTGCTATGTGGAGACAAAACCCTCCAAATATTAAAATTCATCTGAGAGACAAGGCAGGGACTATTCTAACTTTGTCTGTGCCAGAGTGTAGTGGTGGATTAGATATTGTAACTTGTGGATTAATTGTGCAATGCATAGCAGGTATCTCAAAAAAAAGGCACTTTAGTTGCAAACAGACAGACAAATGTTAGGAATCCCTAGAAAACTGCAACTGAAGCACATCAATCCATGGACATCTTGTTCTTTCACATGAGAGAAGATTCCTAAAAGGAATGCAGCCTGAATCTCTAAAATTAGGAAAGATGAGCAGGGTAGAAATGGAGATTAACCTGCTACTGTTTATTGTACCACACAGGAGCATCTTGTAACAATTTTATGTGACTTTTGAAATAGAGAAGCATTATGCAAGCAGAACTGAGGAACAACCTGCTGTGGAAATAGGTATGGGCCTGAGGTTTAAATCAACTCCAAAAAAGGAAAACCACAGAATCAGTTTATTGATTGCTGTGGATTTTGCAGCGTAATCCCAGTAAAATCCCTGGCTGAAGAGTTCTCACATTGCTGACAGTGAGTGACTCTCTAAGAAGGAGTATTCCTGGGAAAAGATTGTTCTAAGAAGGAGTGTTCCCAGGGAAGACTGCTGCAGCTGGAGCTGCCATTATGGAAGACTGGATGTGATGCAGGATGGCAACACACAGACTAACAGGTTTTTGGTGCCTGCACTGTGATTTTCCTGACACCTTTCAAGTAGAAAAGCAATTTGATGTCATGATGGCAGAAGGCTGGGGGGAAGGTTAGCAAGGAGGACCTCATGGTGGGAGGCTGTTATAGGACAC